GGAGAGAGGACGACAGAACACACAAGGAAGACAACGGAGAGAGGGAGAAGGAGAAAAGGGAGAGGACAATGTCGGTGGACTGAGCCGGAGGCTCTAAAGTTTAAGGTCAACACCCAGTACAATCTGAAGCAAACGTTGTTGGAGGTCCCTTTGTTGAACACAAAGAGGGACCCTCAAAATTGTTGCTTTTCCTGTTCTTCCCCTCTGAAATCATCCGAAAAAGGCTGCGGAGCCTCAACACAAAAACGCCTGCTCTGCCTCCATTTGCTTAAGTCCCTTAAACAAACATGGAAAAACAAATAAGAACATGAACAGTGATCGATTCCCTTTCACACCAACAAGGGCAACTAAAACAAATCTTGAGCAAGTGGAAGCCCCCCGAAGCATTCGTAGAACCTTGGGCCCGAATCCTTCCTTGGCCGCCCTACCACTCTGCATCTTTTTTCGAACCAACAAGGGAAACTAACAAACCTCAAGCAAGTGGAAGTCTGTTGTGGATGGACGAAACCTCACCTCAGAAACCCTGGAACGAGGATTCAATTCAAATACAAACCAACAATGGTTTCGCAAGGTTTCAAAGTGGGGCGAAATGGATTCCGTCCCCAGTAGGGCTCTGTGAGCTTGGCGTCATGACTTCCGCGTACACCTCCGGCAAATGCTCCGTGAGCCACCGCTGCCGCCGCAGGCGCCGGCCGCAGAACCCCAGCGACGGCAGGCGCGCCCGCAGGGCGCAGCCTGGCGATGCGCGGGCGAACGCGCGGCTCCACGCTTGGCACATCGGAAATGGCCGAAACCAGGGAGTGGTTGGCATTTTTAGGGTACCCTATTCCAAGCGATTCCATGGACCAGGATTTCTTTGAAAGAGTTGGTTCCCATGGAAGCTGCCAGGATTTCTTTGCAAGACTTGCTTCCTTTTCTAGCCTTTGGGAACTTCTATGTTCGTTTGAGGGAGCGCGCCCCTACTTTGAGAAACAACCAAAAATGGCGCACACGGTCGGCCTTGTTCGTTTCTAAGAAAATCCTAGACTGGTTTGTATATAAGGGCTGGAGTGATTGATTGTTTTCTATTCAAGTGGATTGGCCAAAAGTCCAATTGCATTGACATGACTTTCCCAAGAATGAAGTGAAGGTAGGACGGTTCACTAACCAGGTGTAATGTTTGCCTTTTCCCGGTTACAAACTGAACTCAGGCACAAGTGTACTGGCAGCAAGTGACATGTGGCAGGTACTTGTCGCGATAGGTGTATGCGTTTCTGTTCCTGGCTGAGTAGTCTAATTTGCATATTTATGCGTATACAGCGTATACATGTGCATACACGCAGCAAACAACATACCTTTCAAAGGGCACTACAAAGACAAGTCCGACACCAGCGCTGCCTGAAAATAATCTGCACACACTACTGTAACCCAAAAGTGCCGCACTCATTTTTTGTAGTTGGTTTTAAAGGGGTCCCACCCCTCAAAAAATGGAAAACAAGTCACCACTTCAGGTCAGGGGTAAAGAGGCATGGTAGCGGCTTCACCAACAGCGACCCCTTGGATTTCCTGGAAACCAGCCCTAGTGCATATGTCCTGCGAAAAGGAATCCACACACAAATAAACAACCTTGCACTAGCCGGTTGATTTTGTTTGAAGGGAAGCACACCACAACATGAAAAAAGGGAACGTGCCCGGTTAGGTCTGGGAGGCGGCTCAAAACAAGAACATAACCAACTCATCAAGAGTAAGCACAAAGAACAATGCCAACCGAAAATGAAAGATCGCGTGAACAGCAACGCAAATTTAGCATTTGGCCTTGGTTCCACACAAGGGAACTCGCCTAGTTTGGGGGACACTGAATGGATTGTGACAAATGGGGTTCTAGGCACTACGCACGACTGTTTCTTGGTACAAGCTAGCGTTCCTTGAGCACATAGTAGGATGCCGGGAACTGCGGCTGGTGCAAAGAAAGCACCTCCAGCAACTTCTCCGGCAAGTTGGCCCAAACCCTGAGTTTCCAGAATAGTTGGCGAACTTCCTGGATCATTTCCTGGCTCTCACTTGCCCAAGGGACCCAGAAATCCAAGGTTGACCTTTTGGTGCCATGATGAAAAATGGGAACCCAAGCGGGCACAAACCAAAAGGTCATTCATTCGCTTTGGACCAGCGAGGGCCTTATGGTTTCTTCAACTGGTCCAACGCCGTTTGTTCTACCTCACCTCCCGAGTGGATGGCCCCAAAAAATGTCCAAACTTTTCATTCACCACAAAAAAGGTCCACCCCCCCCCCAAAAAAAAAAAATACAAAGTCCATGAACCCAACAAGCCCCAACAAGCCCCAACAAGCCCCAACACGCCAACGCTGCCGCCCGATTGCCCCCCCCGAAAGCCTACCCTCGCCTAGTGCGAGGTGCACCTTCACCGCCCGTGCCCGGGCCACCACCGCGTTCACCCGGCGCACGCAGACGTTCCGCGGCAGGTCCCGGAGCTCCTGCGATCGGCTCTGCTCGGCTCGGCTCGAAACGGAGCGGCTGGCTTCGGTCAGCCATCGGGTTGCTTGGAAAAAAAGGTTATCCTGTGGTGGGCCATGGGGCCTCTTGGTTGACGTTGGGTTTGGGGAGCAAAAATTGAAGCTTTAGCAGTTCAGTGGGGATTTCCCTCTAAACCACAATAAGCAAAAATGTAAAATGCTTCCCAACAACAACCATGCCATGGGGTCGGTTGGAAAAGACCTTTTCTTGGGCAGATTTCTTATGATTCTTCGTCCCCTCCCTTGCGGGTTCCTCCAAATCTGCCCTTCCGTAAGGCCTGAAAAACAGACGTAACCTCAACAATGTAAACAAGCCAGCAACAAACCAGGCAACCCAGCAGACATGCTAACAACAAACTAGTTGCCCATCAAATAACCTGCCAAGCGAATGTTGTCAGTTATAAGTAGTGGATCCACGAACCCCCCCCCCCCTCCTCCCCCTAGAGACCCACTAAACAGGGCGAGGATCGGACGCTCCCCTACCAAACCCACAGAAAAACCGCCGCAGATCCGTCTCCTGCACCAGGTCCTGCCTGTCCTGGTTCAGCAGCCGCTCGAGGTCCTGTCCCGACATGGGGATATTACACATTCTTACAAATCAAATGCTTATCACTGGATAAGACACATATCTATGCATGCTATGTATGAATACGATACCATCCCTATGTCCGGGCTGCGCATAGTTCCCGCACCCTTCAAAAGGGGCCCCGCCCCGCCCAACCCGGGTTGCCCGCTCCAAGGGACAACGAGAACACAAAAGGGGCCTTTGGTGTTCCAAGCCCAAACCTTTCTTGGGCCCTGACGCCCTGACCCCTTTGAAATCCCAGTCCAGGGGTTGGACCCATTGATCTGCCCTCCCAAAGTCAACTTGGCTCGCGTACCCCCATGCCGTGTAGTCACCATGGGTGTTGGATCGTATACCTATTCCTTATGCTTTAAAACTAGTAACATGAAACAAATATATATTTGTAAAATAATGTTTTACTATGTTTTACAGTTGTGCTAGATGTCGATGGTTCTGTTCCCTCTAATAAAACCAGTATTGCATACTCCGGCTTGCAAGGAAACTTGGGGGGCCTGGGGCCCTGGTTTAGCCGCGAGGTTGCGAGCCGGGCCTTGCACTTGTAGTCCGAATCCCAGAAGGATCCGACATACCTTCACAGAGTCTTCACAGAGTCGGATATTGTTTTTGGGAAATTCAAACATGAGAACCTGTCTGTGTGAGTTTTTCCTTTAGGAAGCGACCCCAAAAAAATGTTGCTCTGTGGTGTCTGCTTTCAAGCCGCCAAACAAGGGGTAGCCTCAAAAGACTTCCATTTGTAACACAAGAAGTACGCCCCCTGGCCCTCAGCACCATCCCCAATTCCGCTGCCACAAATTGGCTGAGCGGAATGTGAAGCCACAATGGACCCATTCTCCGTTTAAGGGAAACTGCCTTCCTTGGTGGTGTGAGTATCTGGCAAGCACGGCAAGCATTTGTGAAACTTCCAAACATCTGGTATAAACAGCGATGCCTCAGAAGCAAACAACCAAAACCACCAGCCACGAACAAGACATGTTGTCACTTCTCCAGAGATGCGTGGAATAACATGGCAGTCATAGCAAAGCACAGGCACAAAGCAGTGAGGAAAAACAGAATCCTCTGGGCCGTGGGGTGTCCCCTAGAATGTCCCATGGCAGGGGAGACCCCCCCGATTTAAGACCAGGGGGGTAGAACCAGAAATAAAAGGTGATCACCTTTTGGGACCATGTCTAAAATTGTCTACATATGGACCAAGATGGGAAAGCCAAAAGGTCAAAAAGGTCGGCTTTGAACAATTGAGTTAATCCACCAGGGGATAACATTCTGTTCTTCAGGCTTGCCAAGTGGCATGCGGGCCACCTCGGGGGTCTGCAGGATCTTGCCCAAGTTCCACATCAAGGCGCCTCAGCGCTTTAATCGCGGCACCGAGAAAGTGCTTGACGTTTTCCTGGTTGGTGGGACTGACTTGTCTAGACCTCTAAAAAAAGAAGTCGCAGTTGTCCAAAGGACCCAAGAATAAAAGGTCAGAATTGTGGAACCTTGTGTAAGAATGGACCAGGCGCAACTAAAGGGTCAAAAGGTCGATTCGCTTTGGGCAAGTGAGAAGTTCAATTTGTCTTCGCATTTCGCATTCTCCAACAGATCAACCTGTTCCTCGCGCACCGCTTTGGTTGATAGAGATAGTGTGAGTCGTCACCAGTGAAGAGCAAACAAAGTCCCCGGTGGAAAGTAATTACTCATTGCAGGTAGTGGGAAAGGATGGCAAGTATTTACTCATTGCTGTAGTGGGAAAGGACAGGTTTTAGTTTCCAAGCAATCCTGGTGAGTCACAATCAGCTAGCGTTCCCATAGGTGCTAGATGTTCCAAATGGGTGGGTCACCATCGGGGCAAGCCATGTGCGAAGTGATCTTCCATTTGCTTAAGCCCCCTGGCAAAAATGAAAATATGTCCAGTAGTGATCAATTCCGTTTAAAATCAACAGGGGAAAGTCACAAAAAAACTTAAACAAATTGTGAAGTGTTTCTGGAGGTAAAAGATCCCGACTGCATCGGCGAGGCACCGTAGACCTTGACGAGGTTCTCGCCATCGATCTCGTCCGCCTTGTTCAGCACGCAACGGCACTTGTCCCCGTCACCCTTGATGGTCTCAATGACCTCTTTGAACCTTCGCAGCTGTGACTGACTGCGTTTTTTTTGCTTTTCGAGGCGAATGGCAGCCTTTCGAGAAATGTGTTAAAGAGAAACTGTTTGGGGTTACCCGTGTTGGGAATTCGGAAGGTTTTAAGGGAAAACTAAAGGCTTGCCCCACCCTATTTTGCACGGTTGCCTCCAAAAAGACAAACCCAACGGGTAGATACTGAGCAGCTAAGGCCCCTTTTTCGGGGTTTACTTGCTAGGCGCGGAGCCGTGGAAAAAGGCCACTGGCCAACCCCCGAAATGGGAAGTGTCGGTCCATTTCCGTGATGCCTTCCCTCCAGAGATTCCTGCCCCATGAATTCTGCACGTACAGACTTACAAGGGGGGATCCAGTTTTCCAATGTATCACGCAAGTGGAACCCCTCGTCGTTCGGACAAACCTGAGCAGCAACATGACCATAGAAGAAAATAATACTTTGGGTTGCCATGACTTCAACATCTTTGAAACATGCTTGGCGTCTCTCTCTTCCTCTGCAAATTAACATGGAACCCGAAAAGGGTCTCCCAAAAGCAACCCCTGCAACAATGATGACCTTGTGGGTGCAGTGTTATTTTGCACTCCGTCAACGCTCATCCCCAAAACCAAGATTTCAATCGTGTCTTTGTTCATCAGTTCAGTGGGTAAAGAGCTTGACCAAGTGCAGGACAAAAATGTGATAAATCCTAGATCGGGGGCTCATCGGAAATGTCCAGCTTGTGCGCATCGAAGAGCAGAAGGATGAGATCAGATCTGGAGGCCAGCCATTTGCAAACCTTCATGAAGTCCTTGGATGGACTGCCAGAGATACTCAGCTTCCCTCCAATTGGTGCTTTGGAGCCCGGTGGTTTGGTGGTTGAGGAGGGGTGTCCCAGAAGAACCGGGGGGTCAAATCCTCACACCCTCAAACCAGCCAACCCACGAACTAAGGGTTACCCGAGACATGGGAAAAAGGGCACTCTCGGGTTAAGGGTTGGACAACAAAATATAGGCCACCCTTCGGAACAAGTACTCCAGGTTGCTAGCCCGAAGGTCCGTGTAGGTTTTCTGCTTTAAAAACCCTTTGTTGCGAAAAGGTCTCCCCTTTTGCAGCCATAATTTTGGGGATTTTTGTCCGATGCCAAACCCAGCGCTTTTCGACGACTCCATCTTAGCGTTTCGCGGGGCCCCACAAACATTTAGTTGTTTGGGCCAACAAGAAACGTGGCTGGCTTTTGAGAACAGAACGGTTGCAACCAGGATCTTGCGGCGTGCAGAGAAAGACTTGACACAGGAGATTGGGACCCCTCCCCCGGCCCCCTTTCTGTGATGCTGTGCACCTCCATGTTGGCGGGCAAAATTGCTTGATTTGGAAGGATTGATCAATTAAGCATCAGTTTGACCCTTGCAAACGGCTCCTTCGAATGCTATCAACCTGACAGAGAGCGACATGCGACGTGTGCCATTTGTTTTTACTCCTCATTCAACAAAATGCATCCAATGCAGGTACGGGTCGTATCCTCTGCTGATTCGCTGCTTGTCCCCAGACAGCACTCCAGGAGTATCCATAAAGGTGATCTCCTTCAGGATGTCCGCGCTCTCCACAAGCACCTGGAACCTCGCTCAAAGCGGGACCCAGGTGCAAGTGACCTGAGAAGAGACTACTTTTTTGATAAGAACCAACGAACCAAGGTACCTCTGACTTGGTTCTCAGTTTTGCTGTTGTTGTTTTTTCTTTTTCTTTTTTTCCGCAGGCCGTGGCAAGCATAGTCACATAAAGGCTCGCCGCCTAACAGGATGGGCAAAGTCCAAGCTTTTCGGGCGCTCAGAGGCTTAGGAAAGGCCTCTGCAAGCTTAAAGCCTCGAGAAGAAATGGTGTGTCTTTGTTTGACCTTTGTTTCGGTTGGGTTCAAAAGGAAACCAAATGCGGGAAGCACAAGCCGCCATCCCAAACTACCACTTGGGCTGTTCAAATACTAAAGGAAACCACAAGGAAACCACACATAAATTTGAGGGGTCCCACTAATGGTTGAGACAAACCCAATTCCCCACCCTCAAAGCTTGTCACGCGAGGCGCTTGCTGAGGAAAGATGACCCGAAGCGGGAGAGGCCGCTGTAGGGAAGCTTGGGCAAGCAAGTAGCCGCGTCTCCGTTGATCACTTTCTCCTTGCGCTCTGGTCATGCTGAACTTCAAGGGCGTTTCCAGGTGTGGGCTTTGCGGGGGGTGACTTACTTCTGGAAGTCTTGCGTACTGATAAGCATCCAGACCGCAAAACCATACCTGCAAATGCCCCTGGCAACTGGGCGAACAAAAAGAACAACATCCCAGACGCTCCCAACTCATGTTTCGGGCCCTCGGGCCCTCGCGGGCCCTCGCGGGCCCTCGGGCTGGTTGGGGGGGGGGGGTCTAAGGCTCGTGGCAACATAGCGCAGATTAGAGAAAGCAAATAGATAGTCGAGATACCGGACACTTAATCTGAACTTAGTAATTATCTACTGTTTCTTTTACTGGGAAGAGATAAAGACAGATAAAAATAACAAATAATAAAAGATCAAACAAAAAGATAAGACAACAAATAGAAAATAAGATAACAACACACAGTTAAAACAGCAGAATTTATGTAAATAACTTGCAAAGAGCTTGCCCTTCAGCAGAAGAAACGTTGCAGCCGGGTGAATCAACAAATGAAACTTTCGAGCTGGAATTGTGGAAGTGTCAAGCACTGTTCTCTCGCTACAGAGTTACAAGAGCCCCCGTTACATACCTCCGTACCAAGGTTCGCGCCGCGTCGGGCTTTGCATGCCCCTTAAAAACCATAGCCATGTATAATCATAACCCGAACAATGGCATCATCCTGGCGCAATACAATGTGGACCTGGTACAAAAAAATGCGCGTCTGAGAACCCACAAGCATAATAAAAATAACGGGGAAGGCCTGGCTTTGCAAAGAAGAGGTTTGGAGGGGCCGCGTTTTCCATTTAGTTTGGGCTGATGGTTCTAGTTTCATTTAACCCGCTTTTCCATCTAGTTTGGGTTGGTGGCTTGGAGGGCCGGTTTTGCATTCGTTTGGGTTGCTGGTTGGAGGGGGCAATTGTTTCATTTAGTTTGGGTTGGTAGTTTGGAGGGGGCCGCTGTTTTCATTTGGTTTGGGTTGCTGGTTTGGAGGGGCCGCTTGTTTCATTTAGTTTCGTTTGGTTGCGTGGAGGGGCCGTTTTTTCTATTCGGTTTGGGTTGGTGGGCCGTGTTTTCCATTAGTTTGGGTTGCTGGCTTGGTTGGGTTGGTTATTTTTTCCAATTAGTTTGGGTTGATGGTTCTAGTTTCATTTAATTTGTCTTGGTGGTTTGGAGGGGGCCGCTTTTCCATTTACTGTAGTTTGGGTTGGTGGTTTGGAGGGGCCGCTTGTTTCATTTAGTGTTGGTTGGTTGTTTGGAGGGGCCGCTTGTTTCATTTAGTTTAGGTTGGTGGACAGTTACGCAAGTTGGGTCGCTCAATTCATGCTTCGTTACTTGCGAATTTTGGAAGAAACCAACTAGGTCAACATCCAGGGCCCCTCGAATCTGAGTTCCTGGGCTGGGGAGATTGAAAGACCGACAAAAAGGTTAAACACCCGGGTTGTGAAATCCTAGTTCCTGATTTGGGGAGACCAACAAAATTCAAAACGCTGAAAATCCCGGGTCCCCTAAAGTGATGTGATGTGTCTTTAATTGGGGAGTTCAAAAAGTTCAAAATCCCGGGTCCCGAAAGTGATGTTCCGCCGGGTGTTTCTTTACTTGGGGAGTTCAAAATCCCGGGTCCCGAAAGTGATGTTTCTTTACTAGGGGAGTTACTTGGGGAGTTCAAAATCCCAAACCCCACAGTGATGTTTCTTTACTTGGGGAATTCAAAAAGTTCAAAATCCTGGGTCCCCAACGTGATGTTTCTGTACTTGGAGAGTTCAAACAATTCAAAAATTCAAAATCCCGGGTCCCAATAATGATGTTTCTTTACACGGGGAGTTCAAACAGTTCAAATGCCGTTTTTTTGCGCAGTTGGAGGGCCTGTCACTGGCCTGCTTGGTTGGGCTCCTGCTTTGCATGAAATGGGGTTTCCTAGGGAGCTCCTGAAAGGACCCGCCTGTTTGTCGGATACGGGGCCTTGTGGGCCCCTAGTGCAATACGGACGGGATCAATGGATCGCTGATCGACCAAAATGGCCTCGAATCACACCTCCCCCATCCGACGGTTATCCGACGGCTATCCGACGGCTATCCGACGGTTATCCGACGGTTATCCGACGGCTATCCGACGGTTATCCGACGGTTATCCGACGGTATCCGACGGTATCCGACGCCGGGCCCTCGTAGACCCTCAGTTTTGGGGGCCCCGGCCCAATTATCCGACGGTTATCCGACGGCTATCCGACGGCCATCCGACGGTTATCCGACGGCTATCCGACGGCCATCCGACGGTTATCCGACGGCTATCCGACGGCCATCCGACGGTTATCCGACGGTTATCCGATGGTAATCCGAAGCTTGTTTGCAGCCCAAAGGCCCCCACCAAAAAACCAGCCCGAAACCTCCTACGACCGCGAGGGCCCGCGAGGGCCCAAGGGCCCGAAACATGAGTTGGGAGCGTCTGGGAGTAGAGTTTCTATTTTGTTTTTTGTGTGTGGCTGCCATGCTTTTTGTGCAGTTGGATTTTTTCTAGGCCTGTCACTGGCCTGCTTGGTCGGGCTGCTGATTCTCTTGAAGTGGGATGTTTGTAGTAGGGCTGTGTGGATGTCGCTTTCTTGGCGCAGTTGCTTTTCTTCAGGGCCTGTCGCTGGCCTGCTTGGTCCGGCTGTGGCCTGCATGGCCCGCCTGATGACCCGCATGTCCTGCCCACCGCCCACCGCCCACCGCCCACCGCCCACCGCCCTGCGTGAGGCAACAGCTCTTCGCAAGCAAGATTGCCAACAACATCTGCAGAAAACAGGCAGGCAAAGACAACAACCAAATTAGAAACCAGAAAGAAAACTTTGCGAAAAGCAGCAGCCCAACCAAGCAGGCCAGCGACAGACCCTGAACGAAAAAACGGCAGCCGCGGACAACAAGCAATTCAACTCTTACTTAAAAAATCAAAGAATCCAACTTTACGAAAAACAGCAGACCAGGCAGGCCAGTGACAGGCCCTGAGCAAAATCCAACTGCGCAATAACAAAAAATGGCAGCCACACACAACAAACAACGCAGCAGCTTTACTAAAAAAAACAAGACCGCGAAAAGCAGCAGCCCGACCAAGCGGGCCAGCGACAGGCCCTGAAACAAAAACAACTGCACCAAAAAAGCGGCATCCACGCACAAAAAGCAAATTAGAAGCCCTACTAAATAAATCCAACTTCACGAAAAGCAGCAGCCCAAGCAAGCAGGCCAGTGACAGGCCCTGAGCAAATATCCAACTGCACAAAGCACATGGCAGCCACACACAACAAGCAAATTAGAAGCTTTACTAAACAAATCCAACTTCACGAAAAGCGATGAAAAGCAGCAGCCTGACCAAGCAAGCCAGTGACAGGCCCCTATAAAAACAACAACTACACAAAAAAGAACGCGGCAGCCACACGCAACAAGCAAACTAGAAGCTCTCGGGAAAAATCCAACTTCACAAAAAGCAGCAGGCCGACCAAGCAGGCCAGTGACAGGCCCTGAACAAAATCCAACTGCACCAAAAAAGTGGCATTCAAACACAACAAGCAAATTCGAAGCCCTACAACAAATCCCACTTTGCTAAAATCACCAGCCCGACCGAGCAGGCCAGTGCCAGGCACTGAAACAAATCCAACTTCACAAAAAAAACGGCAGCCACAGACAGCAAGCAAAAAACAACAATCTCGAAGCAGCAGGCCGACCAAGCAGGCCAGTGACAGGCCCTGAAGAAAAACCCAACTGAGAAACAAAGCGGCAGCCACAAAGAAACCCAATGGAAACAAAACACTTCACGAAAAGCAGCAGGCAGACCAAGCAAGCCAGTGACAGGCCTTGAAAAGAACCAACTGCACAACAACCAAAAAAAAACGGCAGCCACACAGAACAAGCAAACTAGAAGCCCTTCGGAAAAAATATTGGTTCACGAAAAGCAGCAGCCGGACCAAGCAGGCCAGCGACAGGCCCTGAAGAAAAGCAACTGCGCCAAGAAAGCGACATCCACACAGCCCTACTACAAACATCCCACTTCAAGAGAATCAGCAGCCCGACCAAGCAGGCCAGTGACAGGCCTAGAAAAAATCCAACTGCACAAAAAGCATGGCAGCCACACACAGCAAACAAAATAGAAACTCTACTCCCAGACGCTCCCAACTCATGCTTCGGGCCCTTGGGCCCTCGCGGGCCCTCGCGGTCGTAGGAGGTTTCGGGCTGGTTTTTTGTTGGGGGCCTTTGGGCTGCAAACAAGCTTCGGATTGCCATCGGATATCCGTCGGATAACCGTCGGATGGCCGTCGGATAGCCGTCGGATAACCGTCGGATAACCGTCGGATAGCCGTCGGATAACCGTCGGATAATTGGGCCGGGGCCCCCAAAACTGAGTGTCTACGAGGGCCCGGCGTCGGATAGTCGGATAGTAATGCTAGGGGAGGTGTGATTCGAGGCCATTTTGGTTCCATCCAGCCCGTCCGGATTGCACTGGGGGCCCACGAGGGCCCCGTATCCGACAAACAGGCCGGTCCCTCCCTAGGAGGGCCCCAGACCCTCCCTAGGAGGGCCCAGGAGCCTCTGGGATGGACTTTTGGCCCCGCCTCCACGATCTATTGTACCTACAAAGGAATCCAAACAAAACAACGGCACCCATGTGACAAACCAAGGCTAATTTTTCTCTGTCCAACAAAAAGGCATCTTGCCTATAGACTTTAAGCTTGTTCAGAACTGATGCTGCACAACACACAAACAAAACACGGGAATCGGAAAGTGAGCACGCTGCAGCGCGTTTGGTCCGTGGACAAAACTCTGAAAGTTGTATTTTTGCGGGGTATGTTGTCATATCGAGGTTCCATGCACGGAAACCCCTGCGGTGGCCTGGTTTCATTCCTGGAGGGGTCGATGGCCAGCCTCTGGTCCGAGTCATTCAGTGTTTCCTGGATATCCCCCGGGCCAGAACCCCCTGCCTAAGCTTTTCGGGGTACCACTTCTCAGAAACCAATGAAAACCAGGTACCCTTCCACCCAATCAACGAGGAACCGTTCGCTCGGCGGATTGGTCCTGGCTTGGACACTTGTCCTTTTAACGGGACCAGGTCCCGAACGTCAGGTTCCATGTGAAAAGGGTGGGAGGGAAATGCTTCAGTAGGGGGGGAAACATGGGGAAACCATTGTTTGGTATGTACAGTGGAAGCATCAGGAACCAGAATGTCTTGGGTGGTGCGAAATGGATTTCGTCCATCCACAGTAGGGCTTTGAGCCACCAGCACAACGGGGCCGCAAACAGCCCGGTCTCCTCGTCTCCATGGACCACCGCCATGAACTTGTCGGTGCTCGGCTGGGGCCGGATGTCGAAGAAGGGGCTGTCGATGCCGGTGACCCACTTGATGAGGGAGGTCTTGCCGGTGCTATACCTGGGGTGTGTCTTTGTTGAAGTACCTCTTCTTGGTAGGTTTTAGAGAGAAACCAGAAGGAACACCGCCGTTTTGGGGGTGTCCGATTCCTAAAAAGAGACACACCCATCGGGGGGTTGTCCCAATGGAGAGAGGCTGGGTGTATATCTACCCGTTAGAGGCCCAAAGTAACCCGTTTTACTTCAATCGGTTTGTCTCTGGAGGGCTTCCATTGGATTTCCCCGGCAGTTGCGAGGAAAGTCGTTGGCGCGGGGGAGGACTCCTACCCAACACGCGAATCCCCAGCGGGGCCAACGGGATTCGACTGACACCTTGGGGGACAACCGAAGCCACCGCGTTCTCCTCATGGCCTAGAAAAACAATTGAAACCACTGGGAAACCCATGAAAAACCCGCAAACCCATGGGAAGCCCGTGGGAAACCCACAGGAAACATATGGCAAACCCATGAGAAACCAGCCCCAGGCTCCAACATCGATTCCCATAGATCCACGAATAATGTTGACCCCGGATTAATAAACCTCTGTAAGTTTATTAATATGGGGGTGTTCCCCTCCAAAAGTGATAAATCCTCACTAAAACCAGGGACGCCCCCATATTAATAAACAGGGGTTTACTAATTCGGGGTCAACATTAGGACAGGCTTTTGCGAAACCCTTTCTTTACCCATTATGCAGGCGTCTGGCTGTTGAATAGGTCAGAAAAGAACAAATGACCCAAACCCCTTTGGGTTGCGTCTGGCAATTGCCAACTCTACTGTTGACCCCAGATTAATCAAGGGGGGTGGGGGCCCCTCCAAAAGTGGTCTGATTTCCCCACATTTCACACAGAAATGGACACCTTCATATTGGAAGCATCATTTTTGGAGGGGAAGACACCCATATTCTTCAGCAACTAGGTCCTCCAGTGGAGAGGTTAGCATAAGGGTACCCCATTGTTTTCTGCAGTCTATTTTAGTAGGGCAACCCTCCCCCAAAAAAGAAACGGTAGAAGGGGCACCTAGTTTCACCGAGGCGCTGACCGATCAGCAGCACCTGAGGCCGGGCCTCCAACTCCGAGACCGTGAGCAGGGCGTCGTTGAAGTGCCCAAAGGAGCTGTCCACTTCAATGGGCCTTTCAAGCGACTTCGGCTTGAAGTTTTTTTTTTTTTTTGAATATGTGGGGGGTGGGTCCGAGTTTCAGGGGGCTGAGATTTTGGGTCTTGGTCTTTTGCTAGACCACCCCAAACATGGCTGAACGGTTTTCCGTTTGGCTTCACTTTGCAACAAAAAAAAAGTGCCGAGCCTCAAACAAATGTACAATCGGGCAGGGTGCCTCTCAGGGTGCCCTCAACGGGTGCCTCTCAGGGTGCCCTCAACGGGCAGGACCCGTGACGACCCCGGGAGAGGCCCAGCCGCACGACCGTGGGAATAGCTGGTTGACTCATTGGTTTGGGTTGGTCTCGGACTGCAAGGTCCAGTTGCAACTCAAGTCCCAACGAGCGGATGGGCCAAAAAGAAGTCCCACGAAATTGGTCCAAGCCCAAAAAGTGTCCAAAGTTCATGAAGGCAGGGAGAGAAATAGTGAGAATGATGAAAAAGGTTTAACTGGCCGTACAGGATGCATCCTAAATTCACCTGCTTGAGAGCGAGAATTTGGGTGAATTGCTTACTGGCCCGCAGGTATCCTTTGAGAAACCCTGACATAAAGGGTGTTGTTGTTGAAACACGGCCCCTTTTTGGACACTAGTGCCATGTGCCGCCTGCTGAAGGGGATACCAATAGTAGGGTCCCTCATGTGGAGAATGATTCAGGCCTGAGTTGCCGTTGAATTTGCATGGACAACCCCACTGGGTGTCTACAGAAACAACACCAAACGTCACATGATTCCACAAGCGCAAGGACTCAGAAATGGAATAGAACCCTCGAAGCAACCTGGAGAATCGCAGCCTTGTTGGGCTCTAGGGCTCATTGCATCCCGCCGTCTGCAAGGGCAACAAATCAAGCTGAAGAACGTCCCTGTTTAGCGACGCGAAGGATTGAAAGGGATGGGAACACTCTGTCTTGCTATGCATCCAGCCACCAACTCAGATATTCACACACCGGCGGGGTCGAGCTTACCCGGCGAGGGCGTGAGGTTGTTGTCAAGTTCCGTGCAAGTTGTCCCACAGGTAAAAATCACCCAACTCCTCACCCCATTATTTTGCCACCTGCCACTGTTTCGAAGAGGGTTTCAAACCCTCGGGGGATTCTAACCGCATGCACATGTTTGTTTTAACCACTATGAAAGTGACCCTAGTGATCGGTTGAGCGGACACACATTAGTTTCTTAATGCAGTTCTCCTCCCACGCACTAACATGGCACCTGATTGAGCGCCCCTGGAAGACCATGTTCCTTTGTATCTCTGGCGGTCGCCATTCTGCCCATCCCGCAGCAAACTGAAACATAAGCCATGCCCCCCACAACCCTCTTTGCACCTTTCTGGAACCCGAGGGCTGCAACCGCCTCCCTAAGCGCCCTAAGCGTGCAAACCCCCGAAAAACCTTCTGGAACCCCCTCTCTGAAGGCACCAATCGACCAACTTCCAGCCTCAGCAAGCCCATGTACAAGGCCTTCAAGTTCTGAACCACAGTCCTGCAGGTGAAACCAAAAGCTCAGCCCATCCTAAACGGACATGCGGATGCCCGAATTGTTCGAGAGCTGAAAGCAGGTTCCCGAACCTTGCAACTTACCAACGTTTGCCAGATCTCGTGATGTTTCACTTGCGATATCATGTTTGGATCCAGGGTACCAAACTCAACAGCTAGGACTTGACTATACAAGGCTTGTGGGGCTTCAAGACACATACCCAAAAAGCTTCCTTAAATCTAATGGCCAATCTTGTCTAACCTTCGCCTTTTGAACGGTTGAAGCCGTGGCTTGTGGTTGGACGCCCGGTCAAAACATGAAAACTTTAATACTGATAACACTGAGAATCATGAGCAAGACAGTAGTACTGCTACTAACTGACAATAATCCACGGTATGACCTAGGGAACGGCCCACGGTTGCGGGAGCCGGGAGGGGAAGCCGGCTTCTCCTATTCACACACAACAGCTCCGTTGCCCAAAGCGAATCGGCCTTTTCATCTTTTGGCTTTCCCGCGTTGGTCCATGTTTTGTCATGGCCCCAAAAGGTGAACCTTTTATTCGCCGTTGTCGCCTTGTTTCTTGCCTTCCAGTCTTCCACTTGCTGTTTCGCCCCCAGGAAACAAAAATAAACGCATTTCCGAGATAGATTCCCTCTTGAGCAAATGGAAGTTTTGGAGGCCGGTTCTGCAAGGTCCGCGCCTTGTTCTCCCATGGGCTTTGCTGTACCTTTCGCTGCCGTTTGTTGAACCTCGAATGGGGTCGCTCCAAGCCTTCAGGGTCGCAAGCCACAAATGACAAAATTCCGAGGCTCGACAAACTTGGTCGTGCTGTTGCGGTTCTTTTCCCCAGGGCCTCTGGCTGCCTCTGGCTGTCGGGCGTGCGTTTCAATGGCCTTGCTTGGTGGCTTCCCAGCCCGAGAGTTGACTGCTTGCAAGGCCTGTGGAAAACTACTGCCATAGGTTAACCATGAACTGGTTTGCCACAAAGCTGGTCTTCCCAAAAAGCTTGAAGTCCAGAACTCAGGAAGTGAAACAGTTGTTGTCGAGAACTGGTGAATAGACACCCCACAATCAAAATCAAGCGGAGGTGTTGGTGCCCATTTTGTGGGAGGGTGAGTTGCCCAAGGACCCAAACATATTGCGAGAAAAAGGATTTACCTTTTCGGGGCCATGACAAAATGGACCAAAGCAAAAGGCTGGGCCAAGCTTGCGGCGTCATTGCGAACCGCAGCTTGGATAGGATAGCCACCAAATTCCCAAGGTCTTACCTCCACCCCGTTTCTCTCAGCTGCCCAAAGGGCCAGAAAACAACTTGGTCCAGCTTTCTTTTAGAACCTTGGCCTCAAAGCGGGCCAACTTCGCCGGACGAAACAAAACAAAAACGTCAGATCCAGCCAATTTGCTTTTGACAGGTGGGTGTGGCTCAAAATGAAACAGGAGCGGTTGCGCAGGCTTTGGCATTTGTTTCCATTTACCAAGTGTCCATTTTGGAATTCCGTTTTTGTTTGAGCATCCAGATAGCTCTCACCGTCCCCCCCCTTTGGCTCCCAAGGCCGGAAACGTTGCCATAGCCCAGAGATATCTCTCCTCGAGGTGTCATCAGACAAACCGGTGTCCGCCACCATCGCCATGGCGAAGAAAACAAACACTCAGGCTATGGTGTGGCTGGTTCCAATAGGTAACATCTCAGCCTCCCCTGTTCCGTTGGTGCTTTGGATTGGTGGTTTGGTGGTTAGAGAAGTGGTTTCTCATTTGCCTTTTACAAAAGTTAGGGGTTCAAAATCCCCAACCACCAATGCAACCCACCAGTTAGAGGAAAGCTGATAATATCTTGTTTATAAGGTTCAATTGAAAAACAATCAGAAACGCGTGTTGCTTCAAGGTCTTTCCCATTGGGTATCAAAACAGCAAGACACCCCCAGAAGGATTTGTTGTCTTGTTGCTTTGGACTGATGATCTTCCGAGGCAACCATGGCGACCAATATGTCTGAACAATGAAGATGAAACACTGCTGGTGCTTTTGAGAATTGAATTCTGCGGGCATTAATCTGCAAGGCTCGGACGGCAACCCAGGCTGGACCAATAGCAGGTACCCTATATTTTGGCAAGGGGCATTGTGCTTCTATTCGAACCATGTGGCCCCTTGCAACTTTTAGCTTGGCAGAGCCTTGAACCGTGCCAATCTCTCGGTTGGTTGCTTCCATGTTTCATCTGTCCGCAGTGACTTGGCGTCCGGCTTCGGGTAGTATGGATGCGAAAAAACGTGTGCCTCCTGATCATGATGTCTTGCTGGCTTCTGTGGACATAGGCAAACGCTGAGGAGCCAAAGGTTGCACGACAAAGCAGCCAACATACCTAGACTCTAGTGTCACCCACATGCTGCGCAAACAGGAATCTGCTTTTTGACCCTTAGATCCTTTCAGGCAAAATCAGGCAGACCCAAATAAGGAACAAACAAGCCAAAAAAACACCATCAGCCTTCCACACTGCGTCCTCCTATTGCTGCCTTGCTATCTGGCCGAGTCTACAGCATTCCCACCGACCAAAGCTTCATCATTCTGGAAAACACCTGAGGAAAGTCAACGGGAGAGGAAAGGACATGACATCTTTCTTGGGGAGACTCTGCGACATCTACTTTCGGCCGTCACAATCCAAGTCTTCGAGGCAACTCTGATTGGTAACCTCTGGTTCCCCTGGAGTATCAGTTAAATACCCGTCACTGCTGATTGGAAGCCGCCCCAAATTGCCATTGGGGCAAAGGGAAATACACATTCAACCTTATTCAACCTTTGATGCATCTCACGGGCGCAAAGGAATCATGAAAATGACCACTTCAGTGAAAGCAGGATCACCTCACTTGCACTCACTTGCAGTTCTGCTGTGTGTTCAAGAGCGACTGCATTGGCTAAAACCGTCGCATGGCGTTGTCATTGTGAGCGTTGAGCAAGAAAACAAAAGTAATTACCCTCCCACCAATTTATATATGGAACCTGACGTTTGGAGGGTCCCTTCAAAACGGAAAATTGTCCAACTGGCGGGTCGCAAGACCTGAAAAAAAAGGAACATCGGCATGCAAGCCTCAAATTGGCTACCCACAAAAGGCCCCAATCTAGAAGTGTCCAACAACCCGAGTGGGCCCAGCGGGCATGGGCCGGTTTGAAGCCTCGTCAGGGCCCAGAGCGTGACCTTCCGCTGGCTCGCCTTAAGCCGGACGCCTTAAACTCCAACGAAACTCGTCTCTTACCAGCTGATGTTTGGAGGATGTCAATCCTTGAAAAGCAGGTCTTGGAATGCAGCATGATATGATGTATATATGGTACAGCGTTGCCAGCCCCCCCCCCCAATGGTCATGGGTCTGACAAGAACCCCCCCCCCCCCTGTGGTTGTGGTTGTGGTTTTGGTCAACTTTCACAGCTCAATGCTGGACGAGTACTCGGTCAGACAAGTAACCTCCCCCCCCCCCCCCTTGTGGATGTGGTTCTTGTTTACTGCCACATGGTCAGTGCTCATGAATCCGTCGGATGACACTTTTCGCATGTGGATTTTGCCCACCGAATCATTGCTCAAAACTCAGACAAGTACTACCCAGTCCAGTGCATCTGGTTTTCGACAAGTATGGACCTGGTTTTTCCCCACATTGTCAAGGTTGTGGATTCGTGGATCACAAGTGAATCTTACAGAAAAGACTTGGCATGCCCCTTTTCGAGGTTGATGACAGGATTTGCAGGCTTTAGTGTTCTGTCGCCCGGCCGCGTTTGCTTGCGATTACGGTTGGAAGGGGGAGAGCCAAGATGATTTGCAAGAGTTTCCTTTTCATGCGCAGACGTGCCAGATTCGATGAGCATGCGATCGAGTGTTCAGTGTGTCAGCATTGTGGTTTGCTTGTGCAGCAGGACTTGTGCTAGGACGCTCTCTGTGCAGCTTCAGAGTTGATCAATATGAAGTTGCCCTTGGGATTTGCACATTGGTCTAGCAGACACGCATGGTGGACTGCTGTTGATGAGTAGGATTGGCCATGTTGTCATACAAGTGGGATCCAGTTAGGAGGGATTTGGCAGACACCACTCACACAAGACTTTCTTGCTATGGCGCGGCCATCCAAACTCTAAAGCTGCTTCATGGATAGTGTGCTCATGTCTTACTTTTGATGAGTCGGTGGGCGGTTGAGGATGGCGGAGCATGGAAGCCGCACTTGAGTTCTGCAGTGCGTTCCCTGAATGCTCCTCCTTCCATGTCACTGTGCTGAGTCAAGACAAGAAGCAGTGCTTGGTCAATCGGCAGAGTCTGTCGCCGCAGGCCGTTAGGACTTCACTGCATCAGTGGTTATCCCTGAGCCGAGTGCATGTGTTCGTCCGACCATTGCTCGGGAGATTAGTGTTTCTAGATCTGGATGCTTTTGCTGGAAGTTGGGACACACTGATCCGCCTGCGACCGCGAGTCGTTGCTGAGACATCAGCTGGCCATTTTCAAGCCTGGTATGTAGTGCCAAATAACTTGGCCAGCAAGACAGCCTTGTGGGTGCAGCAGCAGTTGACGCAAGCTTTGGGTGCCGATAAAGCTGCATGCTCTGGACAGCAGCAGGGCCGGCTTCCTGGCTCATGTAATTGCAAGCCCGGGAAATCGCATCAAGTTCGTATCGTGCACCGCAGCACGCATGACCTGGATGAGGCCGTGTTTTTACAGCTGGTGCCGCAGGTGCGGCTCGTGGTGCAGGGTAGTCATCTTCAGGCAAAGCCTACGCCGCAGCCTGCTGGCATCACCGTGGACCGGTCGGCCGCAGACTGGCGTATGGCGTGTACGTACTTTGAGAAGAACCCTGGGGCCACTGAGCAGGATGCCAAGCGGGACCTGGCCAGCCAATGGCAGGCAACACGTCCAAATCAGGACTACTACGTTGACTTGACCGTCAAGAAGGCTGCTGAGAAAGTGGCTGGCAGTACCTCTGCATCTCGAGACTTGGACAAGTAGAGTTCCGGGGTGATGTTGCAAACATGCAGTGACACGTAGCCACCAGCTAGATACAGTAGATATATATATATATACATAAATACATATATATATATATACACGCATACCTACACCCGTTCAAAAGTGCCGATAAGGGGAGCTATCTACAGTATGTGCATAATTCCTGTTGTATCTTGTTTCTCCTTTTCGAAATGAAGCGGCCCCCCACCTAAATCATGCATATTCCACTGGCAGCGCTAGCTCGGCGCTTGGTCGGGGACGCTCGTGGACGTGGCGCGCAAGACGCGCACGCGTGGCCTTTCTGTTTGGTCGCTGTAAGCGAGAGTGCCGCGTCTGCTTCGAAATCTGCATTTGTTTAGCGAAAGTGCTGCGCCAGCCATGACTGCCCTGTTTCTACGCTGTAGTTGTAAGGTCAAGTAAAAAAAACTACGTTACATTCCCGTAGCAATTCCGTTTTGTTTTGTTATTTGCTGAAGATGTGGTGTCGAACAGTGGGATTTCTTGTGTGTGAAAATATCAATGAGCAGCAGCTCTACAAGCTTGGATAGCTCGCCCGACAGCAGCTAAGAAATGGCCCGCGCGAGTGCGCCTGTCAGATATTTGTACGTTTCTTAGTCATACCTATTGCGCCGCAATGGCAGTGATCTATATATATATATATATTAACCAACATTTGGACAGCCCCATATATAGACCTTTTTGTATGTCAGCACACATAATTAGTTTGCATATATTCTTTTGTCTGGATCAAATTTATAATATATATATATATATGTGTATACACATGAATACAATTGTTAACATGGGTAAACATGCCTACCCGCATTCACATTCTTTGCCTAGGATCAGAGAAAGTGCCGCCAATAGCACCTCCGGCGCTTGAGAAGCCTGCAGACCCTGTCCAGCGCTCTCTTGACCTCATCGACAAAGAGTCCGTGCAGCATTTGATTGAGGCTGCCTTGGACAGCCGCTTTCCGAGGGCCGCGGAGGTCAGCAAGACTTGCTCGCAGTGTAGCCAGGAGCTGTTCAGGGCTGCGTACACCGTGGGCCAGTTTGCCAGTCAGACGCCTATCTGCAAGACCTGCCAGCCAGTGGACGAGAGGCTCACCAAGCGAACCTTGGCGACCAAAACGTGCAGTGGCTGTCACCAAACCTTGCCACGGGACAACTTCACTGACACACAGTGGCGGGCAGGTGCTGCAAGCAAGTGCAAATCTTGCACTGCCAGGGGGGCTGTGGCTGCCAAGATCCACACCAAGGAATGTAGGACGTGTCATGAGATCAAGGCCAAAGAGCTGTTCAGTGTCACTCAATGGGAGATGCCCAAGATCAAGGGCTCTTCGTGCAGGCGGTGCTCAGATCAAACTGCAATCAAGCGACAGAATGAGTTTTCCGAAGAGGTGTCGGTCAAGAGGCGCGCCGTGGTCGAAGAGGTTGGCGCTTCTCCGTGGCAGACGCAGGACCCTGCCGAGGCCAAACGGTGGCTTTTACAGGCCCCGCTGGAGGCCTTGCCGAGCAGCTTAGCCGAAACACGTCCACTTGAAAAGTGCATACGACCCCCTCATAAAAGAACGAGGGACTCACAACAAGGCTTGGTTTCGGGTCTTGTGGGTCCTGGGGGCTTCAGGCAAGGCCGTTTTAGAGTTAGGAGGAGCTTTTCGCATTTGTTGCTCAAGCTAAGCATGCAAGGATTTTGGTTCCCGGGTCCGAACATCGTAGGTGTCAACTTGCAGAGCCTGCAAGCTACGCATGCCGTCGGGAATCGACCAGAGTGGTGGAAGTGGGGCATGAAGCTTGACGATAGCCAGATCCCCGTTCAGCAGAAGATAATGATGTTGCAAGCTTCGCACCAGGACCAGATGCACCTTGGTGGGCGCGAAGGCATGGTGCGAGCGCTGCATGATGAGGGCAAACGCTGGCTCAACATGGACCTGGACGCTGCGTACGTCCTACGTCACTGCTCTCATTGCCTTGCCACCAGCACGCGGGGCGTCGCTGAGCCCGCCCCAAGACATCTGCCTCGGCCAATGGCTGCGGGCGACATCCTTGGAGTGGACTTAAAGAAAGTCGTGCCACCTGATGGCGCCCCTTGGGTCATGCTGCTCCTTGTCGATTTTGCGACAAACCGGCTGTGGGCGTTTGATATGGACGTTGATAAGCTTCTTGGCTTAGAGTAGTCCTGACAAGCAGCATGAAGCAACTCTAGCCCCACGTGCTTGTTTGTTTCTGTGGCAATGCAAAGTTGCAAGCTTAGGAAAGGTTTGGCAGGGGTGCAACAGCTGCTGCTACGACATTACCATGAGGTGGACATTCCGGCCATATGCTGGTCAGATAATGGAGGCCAGTTCAAAAGCGTCGTCGAGGAAGCGGTTTTCCAGACTTTGCATGTGTCAGACCCTATCATATTCCCCCTGGACGCCCGCAATCGAACGGGCTGACTGAAGCGCAGCCTAGCTATCAATTTGTGTTTGACCATCGCACCTTGTGTTTGTGCCTTCCTTTGCGTTGCGTGCCGTCCTGCGCCACTGTGCTCAGGTACAACAAGGTGTTGGACGCCAGTCACGGAGGCCATCGTGACCAGCTCATGAGCGCCGTGTCAGCGTTCAGCGCGCTGCCGCGGCGGCCAACAGGGGTCGCGCCAGAGACGCTCTGGCGAGCTCTGCGGCCCCTTGAGTCCAGATGGCGAAACAGAACCTTGAAGGCCGTCTGTGGGGATGCGGCCCCAGCAGTGTCGGACCAAGAGTGGCTTGAAATTCTCGATGAGCATGCGGCTATTGGTGTGGATGTCTACCAGAAGGCCACCGCTCGGTTCGCAGAGGATGTGCAGCAGCTGCAGAAGTTGTTTTGCTCCGCCACTCAAAGAGCTCAGATGGCGCTGCGTGTCAAGAAGAATCAAAAGACCATGCACTCCGCGCCCCTTGTGACTGGCGACCGTGTTCTGTGCAGGAGCACGCAGTACCCGCAGCAGCGCTGGGTTTGGAAAGTTTGAGTGCTCCGGCAGTGGCCTTCGCGAGTTCACTGTGCTGTCGCTAAGTGGCGGGACCGCGCTTTTGCAAGAAGACTGCACTGGTCGGCAAATCACGCGTCATGAATCTCTGCTGAAAATCCTACCCAATGCTGTCAAGCCTGGACAGAGCGGTGGCTATGAGGAGAACTTGCCGTCGCCGCGCACAAAAGAACGCGCGAAGGAGCTTGAGACGGTTGGGCCTTTTTGGCTGCTGTGTGCCGAGCCAGACGGTGCTTGCTTATTTCGCAGCCTGGCTATGGGCATGATGGTCCTTGCAGGGGTGCACCCAGTTCATGTTCTTGACAGCGACGTCGCGGCAGCAGAGCTGAGGGCCCGCGTGGTTCGTCAATCCCGTCTGTGGCTGCAATCGCAGTGCGCTGAAGATCTTGCAGCGGCTGAAGCGATAGCTCTTGCCGAGCTTCGAGACGAGCCGACTTGGGACTTCAATATTGCCTTCACTTGGGCTCGCTTTTTGGATTTCCTAGCGCTGCCTAGATCATACACCACGACTTGGGCTCTGCAACAGTTCGTGCTCATGGAACACATCAATGTTCGAGTGTATCAGAAACAGGATGGGAACATTCAGGCAGTGTGGGAGGAGAAAGCTCAAGGAGAACCACACGGTGCCCTTTTCTTGTTGCGAACTAAGAATCATTTCGATTTGTTGGTCCTGAGTGGCTCGAAGCCGCCCGGGCGTGTGCGGGGAAAGACCCAGCCAAAGGTGACGTGACAAAGGTAGCAGGTTCAGGAGGGGGCTTGCTTTTTTAATGAAGGGTGTCGGTGAAGACCTGGGCCAGGAGCTTGGGTGGGGAGCTTGCGTTGTCGCAGGGCGGTGCTCCTTGTTTCTGCCCCCTTCCTGCCCCCCCCGGCTTTCCGGGATCAGAGGCCCACCATACCATATGGGGGGGGGGGGTGGTAGCAACACGGAACACGGGACCATATATATATATATATATTTGGGGGTTGATCAAAAGGTCCTCTACATGGGATGCCAAATCGGCAAAACCATGGGAGAATGCCCATGATCATTTGGGGCCCAGGAATATTGATCAACCCCCATATAATCCTTCCACCATGCCGCTGCGGAACTAATTCCGCACCTTTGATTCCGCTTCGACCCGCTGTCCAGCGGAGTTCGCTCAGACTTTGGAGCGGCAAGGCTCACCTCGGAAACGCGAGAACGCGAGCCTAAAGGCAAGTGCCTTTTCACGAAATGGGCCACTTCTCTGGAGGCAGGGGAGGGCGAGGGAGCCCGAATAAGCCCTAAACAATGCCTTATTAAGGGCATAGAAATGTCTTGTTTGCGATGCCTCCTCCTCCCCTCCCTCCCCACCAGCGCTTCCCAAAGATAAACTCCTCGGGGGATAAAAACCCGAGTGATCCCACAGCGTCTTTGACAAATTGAGCTACCCTTTTTTGAAAGACTTCTCCTTCCCACAGTCTTGGGGGGTGGGAGTACATGTAGAGACGGCCTCGTGGGCTGTAGGAGAACCCAGCGGAAGCCATCGATCTTGTGAACCCAGCTGGATAATTTAAGCCGTTGATTTGTAGGCGGGCGCAATCCACGAGGCAGCCCTCCACTTGAAGGTAACACCTTCTCAATCTGCAAGGCTCACTTATCTGCGCAAATCCCCCGTTCATTTTCCGCATGTGGGTGCATCAAGGGACTCGCAGTTCAGATTCTTCCTAGTGAAAGGTGGCCAAGCCCTGCGCCCCTAAGTTCCCATGTCCCCGTTAAAACTCACCGATCGAGTGGATTGGCCAAAAGTCCCAACTTTTTGTTTACCGCTACAATGGTCTTCCCCAAAGACTTAAAGTCCAGGAACTCGGGGAGTGAGACCAGATTGTGATAACTCAGCCATGGCGACGTAAATGGATCCTTCCATCCTGACGCGGATCCAGCGCGAGGCCCTGCTTTCGCGCTTGCGAGTCCGCTTCGCCTTTTTATGCCTTTTTGCAGGGGGGACGCAGCGATTCTGCCTTCCTCCCGGTTCCGGCCGCGCGCACGGCCTTAACCAGCACTTGGATTCATTCGCGCATGTTGCGCTTGCGAAACGTCTGTCCAAGAAAAGATTCTTGGAACCTTCTTGGAACTCAGGGCTCGAAAAAACGCAAGCAAGGCAATAGAAAATTCTTCCAGGCCGCCTTTCGCAAGGGGTAAAGGTGATCTTCAATAGAGCAAATGGAGACGTCCTTGAAGGGAACCTGTTCTGCTTGATTTGAAACGGAGATACTGTTCCATGGAAAATACACATCGACCACAACAATTTGCTTGAATCGGCAAAGCTACTTTACAATAGTGATAGCCTCCATTCGAAACCATCTATTCTCAACCCCCCCGGTCCGAGCTGAGCTGTGAGCCCTTGAGCGCGGCCGTTTGAAGTTCAAGGGGTGTACCCTGGCACGCTCCAAGTATATATATATATATGCATAGTCATTCTCGATATATATATATATATATGTTCACGATACATATATGCACACAAATACGTAGAAATGCACAGTATACATTTGTCTTTTAACATTATTGGCAACCCATCAGTGTTGCTACTACCAGTATAGCCGGCGAAGCCGGGAGGCGGAAGTTTCAAAACAGTAAACAACTATAGGAACTTTGTGTGTTTTCTTTCTTTCTTTCTTTCTTTCTTTCTTTCTTTCTTTCTTCCGTTGTTTTTGTTCTTTCTTCTTTTTTGTTCTTTCTTCCTTTCTTTCCGTCCTTTTGTCTTTCCTTTCGTTCTTGGTGCTCTGTCTTTTCTGTCGGTCTTTCTTTTGCTGCTTTTTTTTGCGCTGTTCTCTTCTCTATCCATCTATCTGTCCATCCATCCATCCATCTATCTCTCTATCTATCGATCGATCTATCTATCTGTCTGTCTGTCTGTCTATGTATCTAGCTAATCTATCTATCTACCTACCTATCTATCTAGTCAATCTATCTATCTATCTACCTACCTATCTATCCGTCTATCTAGCTAGCTAGCTAGCTAATTATCTATCCATCTCTCTACTACCTCTGTATCTATCTATCTGTCTGTCTTTCTTTCTTTCGTTCTTTCTTTCTTTGTTTCTTTGTTGTTCTTTCTTTCTTTCTTTCTTTCGTTCTTCCTTCCTTCCTTCCTTCCTTCCTTCCTTCCTTCCTTTCTATCTGTCCATCCCTCTATCTCTCTATCTATCTATCAACCTGTCGATCAATCAATCTTTTTATCTCTTTATCTATCTATCTACCTACCGATCTATCTATCTATCTATGTATCTATTTATGTATCTATCTGTCTGTTTATTTATCTAGGTAGCTATCTATCTATCTTTCTATCTATCTCTCTATCTCCCTATCTCCCTATCTATCTCTCTATCTAGCTATCTAGCTATCTAGCTATCTTGCTATCTATTCATCTATTTATCTGGCACTATGTCTGTCTAGCAATCTATCTAGCTATCTAATTGTGTAGCTATCTATCTGGCTGTCTATCTAGCTATCTATCTATCCAGCTCGCTTCAATCGACTTCGAAAACTACTTTTGTACTCCCATTTTCGAGCTGCAGCTGGAGAAGTGTACTTCAAATACTACCTTTGTACTTGACTTTTGCGATTTTCGAGCTGCAACTGGAAAAATGTAATCGCACCTTTGATCACGAAAGTATTGTGCCTGCCACGAAATCTGTACCTCACCTTGCGAAATTGCTGCGCCTGCATCGAAATCTGCACTTGACCTTGCGAAAATGTTGCCCTGCCCGAAATATGTACTTGACCCTGCGAAAATGCTGCCCCTGCCAGGAAATCTATGATTGACCTTGCGAAAATGCTGCCCCTGCCACGAAATGTGCACCTGACCTTGCGAAAATGCTGCCCCTGCCACGAATCTGCATGCGCCGCCTTGCGCGTCCGTGCCAATGGGTCCGTGCCAGAAGCAAGAAAATGCCGCGCCTGCCACGAAATCTTTACTTGACCTTGCGAAAGTGCTGCGCCTGCCACGAAATCTGTTGCCAAAATGCTGTGCCTGCCACGAAATTCAAACCCTGCGAAACCTCCGTGTTGCCGTGACAGTAGGCCCCGCTCCGAGACCGTTCCGAACCCGCTCCGGGACCGTCGTCGGACAGGCGTCGCAACCGGGGTAGCTTTCAGCCAGCCGGAGAAGCCAAAACCCGCAGAGGGTTGCTCTTTTTCGCGATGTC